GATCATCTGATAAATATATCAGATGAAAAATCCAAGTAAAAAATACATTTATTCAGGTAAAGAACCAACCCAAAATAATACACAGGTGTTTGCACAACATTGCACACACACCTAAGGGCAGTTTAGAGACACTAACCAACTTCACACTCATGTAATTAGACTGTGGGGGTAAGCTGGAGTACCTTCAACCCACACATGCAACCTCCGCGGCCAGGAATCAAACCCAGGACCTTCTTGTTACAAGACAAGAGTGCTAAAAAACTGTACCACCATGAGGCTGTAAATAAAAAACTTTCTGAAAAAAAAGGGGGAAAAACTGGTAGACATTTGAAATTATTTTTGTTCATTATCATATAGTCTAGGTCACAGCTGTTGGTAAAGGTGGAACCATTTGATATTAGCTGACTGGTAGTTTTTCATATGGGCCTGGTTTGATTCGATGGAAAATTCCTTCAGTAAATACAACATCATTCTGATAAATACGTTTTGTACATCACTCGGTTTCTATTGGCTTTATGTTGTGAAGCAAATAACTTTATTAGAAAAGCAAAAATGGCAAATAGTTTCCTCACAGCACAATATTTGTTTGAGTTAAATTAATTTAATCTTTTAGTAAATCATTTGAATTGTGACACACTGCAAGAACACAGTTTGATATTTTGGTATTGTAGCAGTTTAATTAAATCTAAATGTGGACAAAAAGTGATTTCAGCTCAGTGCTGAAATTGTTAGCTGGGGTTTTCTTAAGGGGGCTGAACCACTGACCTTCCTTACAGTTTTCCAAGTAAGACAATATTTGGCTAACTTTGTCTAAACTTTGCGACTGTATCTGGAGAAAAAAAAACAAGTTCTGTTCCCCTTCCATATAATCTTTTCAGTTTTAAAGAATCCATGCAGTGATACTTGAGACTGTACAACATCATTACAGTTCAGATTTTCACCATCAAGGATGTTTATCACATGCCATGCCACCCAAGAAGCAACATTTCCTGCCATGTGAGAAGGGCAGTTGACATTTATGCTTTATTTTTTCATTCCATGTCTCAGACTCAATCACGATGTGCAAATTACACCCCCATCAAACTGCACATAATTTATTGTGGCTCTGCAGAGCTTGCGCTGGTGCTGGACTTTGTCCGAAAGTTTAGCACTTCTGACAGAAAAAGCATCCGTTTGCAGTAACCTGAAAAATGTTTAGACATGACCTTAAATATTATTCTTGAGAAACTTCAGCATCTCGACCCAAACCAATCCTTAAATGCAACCAGTCTATGTTTCTACCGGATCTAAAATGTGGAGCAATCATCATGCAGTCTTTTGGGAACCTTTCATGAAAAGCTGAACTGCTCAGGTGATATGATAAACCAATGGAAATGTGTTTCCTACATGATGCCCAGTTTGTTTTGCAGGATTTGAATAGCTTTTCCCGGAGGATCCTGAAGCATGTGCAGCAGCTCAAGAGGCATGCTCTTGTTTTAGACGGCAAATATTTACAAAGCAGCAAGCCAAGGAAAATGCTTCACAGCACAAAAATAAGGAAGGTGGTAAAGACTTGTGGAAACGCTGTTGTGCTGCTGAATTTATTAATTTCTTTATTTTTATAAACCTACATCGAGGTCAGTTATAGATGTAGTAATATAAAATCTTAATAGATAAATGGATTTGACATTAAATTTACTTATTTCACGCATATCTTCATAGAAAAAAATGCAATATAAAGTTATTAATCAATTATTTATAAATAAAAGTATTTTTTGAGGTGAGTAAATGTGCTTTTCCTCTAAGAAACGTAAAGTCTCTCTTTTGCTCTTAGTCAAATGTTGCGTTAAAAAAAATACACAGGATTCTCACAGGCTGACAGTTTGAGTCAAAAAAGCATGGGTTAATTTGAGGGGCGCTTTGCTCAAGGAGGCAGCCTGAACTGACAGACAGACTTGCAGCTTGTAGCCTGCAGACATTGGTAAGATGGATGTGTGGTGCTTCTATAGTTTTCACGCTATGATTCTATATGGTTTTCTGGAAACAGGTGTTCTACTTTATGATTTTAAAGGCCAGAGAAATTTTGTGACTCTGCCAGTTTCTCTGGCATCACATTAGAAAGACTTTAAACCAGAGTAACATTATAACGGAAAGTTAAAAATGTTTAAAACCTTACAATTTCTTAGTTATTTCAAAGTGAAATGTAACCAAAATGTTCTCTTCCCACTATTTTCTAAGTATTCAAATTTTCTTATATTTGCATCCGCATAAGGTGTAAAAATACCTAAGAATGTTTTTGCAAAACATTTTTGTATAGACAGTAGTTAAGTCATTTGATGCAACTTCAGTGACTTTCACATCTAATATAAAAAATAACTAAAGGCATATTTGAACTATCAATACTGGACTTGCTGAAAACAGGAAATTTTGGGGTATTTCTTGAAGAAATCTAAATATCTGCATTCACTACCACAAATGTAATTACCCATTTAAAATTAATTATCTGTATAAAACAAGTTTCCCCAGACATTTGTTTGCTCATAAGAAATGGCTTAAACTCAGAGTCTGAATAAGAGTTTATTTCACTGCACCGTGGAGCTTCTGTGGCTTAAAGGATATATATATGTAAACATTCAATATAGCTTAGTATTAGTACAAATTTACACTTAAGTGTCTTGAATTAATAAGATGGATAAAATCTTCAAGAAAAGGGAAGACAAAGCTGTTACTGCTGATATCCTTCGGTGTTGTTTGCTTTTGCCACAATATTTACAAACTATACCTTGAAAAAGTTTTAATATCCTAACATATTCTTTATTCCATTTTGTGACTTAAAAAACACACGTCTTTGCAGTTTTTTGCCATTTTACGTAGAAGTTACTTACATGGTATTGTATAAATGTAAGGTGAAAGAAAACCTACAATTATCTGGCTGCATGCTAAAATAATTTTGGGTAAATCTCAACTCCAGACTTAAGTCTTAAAATCATTTTAAAAACTGTATTTCTCAAGACTGTTATCTATCCATAACTCTATCCATTTCTCATAAGCTTACCCTTAGCCTGATGCTGCCTCTGCCATGCTTTGCCATGGTTATGGTCTGTTTATTGAAACTGTGTCCAAACAATCTGTCATTTGGACAGTAAAAAACAAGTCAAAAGTGGTAAAGAGGGGAAAAAAACTCAAATTAAATTAAAATATATGTCTAAAAAAATTTTGCTCAACTGTAGACTAACAATCTTCTCATTAAATAAATCCAGTAGTCAAATTTCTGTCAGGAAAGGATATGATAATCATTATAGATTCAACTATGGAAAGGATGTTGTGCTTATTGAAAGAAAGTCTGTTAAAGACACTATAAAACCAAATAGAAACACAAAGAATTAAAAAGAAACCAGAAAGCCTTTTTTATTAAAAGACAAATATTTCTCATTGTTGACCACATTTTCCATTGCATGTTTTTAATTTGCCTGAAAGAACATAGAATAAAAAAATCTTCCATCTACATCAATCACATGTTCTGACAGGCCACAATTACACCTTTTTTTTTAAATAGGAGCCAGTGATAGGCTGGCTTAATCGGCCGTAAATGTCCCCAGGAGAACACTTTGAACACCTCTGGTTTAGGTTGATAGGCAATACTAGTTTTCTGCCACACATTGCATTAGGCATGTAGCCCTCAAAGATTCATATTGGTCTATTTTGACCTGGGGACATTCTTACTGATCTTTTCCATGTCCTCTACATGACCCGCGGTGACCTTTAAACATTAGTCCTCATGACTTTCTGTGAGCATTGATTTTCTTCTTGCCACTCTTCCATAAAGGCCAGATTTATGGAGTGCACAGCTCAACCGAAGCTACAAAGGGCCCCATGGCAGCTATTCTAAATAAAGATGGATTGAACAGTGCTCTGTAAAAGCACAGTACAAAATTTGAGATAGTATTTTATAACCCAACCCAGCTTTAAACTTGACCACCACCTTATTTTTAACCATTCAGCTGTGTTCCTCGGGTAATTTTTTGCTAACGACCTGTAACAAACCTCCAAGGCCTTCACAGAGCATCTGGATTTACTCTGACATTATATCCTAAAGGCAACTGGCTGCAATGGATTTTATTAAGGGGCATCTGAGAAAAAGGGGTTGTGGAAATATTTTGTAGAGCATCTTGAGAATGATGCATTATTTTTACCTCCACTAAACGTTACTTTTTGTTGGTCTATCAAATTAAATTCCCTCAAATGCATCAAAATTTGCAGTTGTAACATGACAAAGTAGAGAAAATTACAAGGGCTATGACTGTTCCTCTAATTGCCATAGAATCAGCACACCAATAAAAGCGCATTCTCCTGAAACCTTTTAATCTACTCTCACAATGTTTTATGCCTGGTGACAAGATGAGACGCTTTAACACTTTATCAAAATAATCTTCATTCCTATCATATCTTTGCTCGTGCTGCAACACCTCGTCTCCCGTTTTTAATCCGCCATAACAAACACCTGTGATCTCTGATCAAAAAGCTAACCGTCCCTGTGGTGTTCAAGCATGTGTACAGCATGAGCCTAGTACGATTTAGTCTATGATTAATCACTGATCGTCTGCACTTTTTGTTGGGGTTTTTTGCAGGGTGTCAGCATCAGAGTAGGTGTTCATGTCTCGTATCGTTCACTAGTATGTTCTAAGCCATCTCAGCAGGCGGACAGGTGGCCATGATGTATGGCCTCTTACAGGAATCACAGCCGTCTTTCGCTTCATTTGAAGCCAGTGACAGGTCAGAGCATAGGCTTGGATGCACATGCACAAACGCAGCTATTAGAGCGTGACGCAATAACATGACTACTCTCTGTTCCATGCTGATGTGCCATACAGAAGAAACGAGCCAACTCAAGCAAGTCTTCTTGAGCCGGGTGTCACAACACCTCCGCTTTCCATCCAGTTTTTTCTCTCTTTCTGCTGCACACGCTCACACAGACAAACACACCCAGCCACACACCACCAGTCAGCCAGCCAGCCTTTCGCTCTTCACTCACACCCTCAAATCTTACCAAGCTCAGCTCTCCCTGCTCAAAGGCAGACAGGAGCAGCACGGCAGCCTGTTAAAGGAGTTGAGGGAAGGAGCAGCGGAGTCACAGAGAGAGACATAGACAGAAAGAGGAGAGGGGGGGTTGAATGACTGAAGGGAGAGCAAGGCAGAAGAGAACTGCTGCCCATATGCCGAGAGGAGTATGGGCGGTTGAACAAGCTGCCCCCACTGAAGCTTCCTGACTCACGGGAGCGTTAGAACCCAATCCCAAGAGAGCCTGGAAAACGCTGCTGGATCACGCCTGGTGGGAGAAGGAGGGGAGAGAAAACTCAGAAGGAGAGCAAAGGAAGGAAAAGCCACAACGGTAGGCTGTCCTACTCAGCTGCTGTACCGTGATGACGTTGGCGGGCATGTGACCCAGGGTCTCCAGTGACGCCGCATGGAGGGCAGGAAAGAGACGAGTTTTAAAGCTGGTGCCTTTTGGGTTGTGTGAGGGCTTTGCTCGCCTCCCCAACAACCACAGAACCACAGACGTGCGGCTCGGGGTTGGTGTCTGAGGGCGACCTGGAGTGTAAATGGTTAATCGTCACGGGCCAGCACCAGTCACAAGGACGGCGCTAAGCAAGTAAGTACGTTCCAACCACATTGGCCAAGCAAGCGAGTCCGACACCATCTGATCTATCCGCAAAAGCGATATTTGCCTCTGCAATTTTTTTTTTTCTATAAAACCAAACCTGGTCGTTACTTGTGGTCATCCAAATAGTTGATACGTAGAAGCATGTTTTGTGGATGGCTTTTCCATTTTTTTCCCCCTTCATGACACGCTGGGCGCTCTTGGTTTAGGACGTGTCGAGGGTCACAGAAACCACAGAGGAACAAAGTTGGGGCTTGCTGGAACCAGAGGCAGCCATGGCATCTAACAGCCTCTTCAGCACAGTGACACCATGTCAGCAGAACTTCTTCTGGGGTGAGTACCATTTCGCCAGTCGCTGATGCTCTTCTGGAACTGGGTCGGTTGAGGGTTCGGGTCACAGAAAGGACTCGGGGATGTCAGCTGCTCATATATGGATGTTGATGAAGACCTTGGACCAGATTGAAGGATTCCAGGTCGGCATTAAAATCAGCTCACTGCCATCAATTGAATCATCTTTGCTAGAGGAGACTCCAACCGTCACCAAGGCTTTTTGACAGGACCTAAATCACCAAGAAAGGGGAACTCTCTGCGCTCAGATATTCAACTCTTTACTTATACAGAATGTTTACAAATATTCCTGAAATAAGGAGACGACATGTTTGTGCAACATACCCTTAGATTTAGAGAGCGATTCCGCTGCAGAACCAAAAACAAAAGCAGGGGTGATATTTTTGACAGACGTAAACAGACACTGTTCAAGCGAGTTTACAGTTGAGCATTGGAACAAGATGTAGGGAATACTGGGTTGGTGTGAGTTTATGTCTCTCTTTCGGGAATACAGTATTGATTAGTTTGCCAAGAGCAATCTGTAATTGCTTCCTAAAACTGCTCGGTCGCACTGCTGTCATCAATTAATCTGTTTAGATTTCCTCTGCCACCAGAGCAGATTTAATCGGCTGACAGAAATTCATACTGAGTAACTCAACAGTTACTGAAGTTTAAAAACAATCCATGCATTCTGATTTATTGTTTTTTTTTAAACAATTTCTCCATTTTGTTAATGCTTATTCTTGTTTCTCTATATTGAAATTGACCTGTGCAAAAGATAAAAATGATCCTCAGTCTTCTAAACAGTAGAGATGAACCTGTGAAGACCAACATGTGCTTCTTAAGGACCCTTTATTTTAGATCTGCTTAATTCTTTCCTGAAAGTTTATAAATAATCTTGCAATATGCATTGCTCCATATCATAAAATTATTGAAAATTAACATTTCCTCCCAGATCAAGGCCATCTCCCGCTGGCTCTCTGCTCCGCTCCATAGATACGCTCATCTTGTCCAAATAAAACGCTTTAAGGATGTTTTGCAGAAGTCGCTCCGTGGTCAGCCACAGATGCTCCACGCAGAAGAAGACTGCAGAAAACGTAGAGAGAGAGAGAGAGAGAAAAAAAAAAACAGCGAGGGCCTTCCGACAATTGCCACCTCATATTAAAACACTTCAACCCCCACTGACCTCTCAGTGAGTCGCAGGAGCTTGAGGCAAGAGAGGACAAGAGAAGAGGAGCAGGAAACGCATTAGAGCAAGAGCAGAAAGGGAAGGTGATTTGTGTAGGTTTAGGTCGACGCACTTAATGGAAAGATGCTTAAAGTGAGAATTGGTTAAAATGTGATTATAAAAAAGTTGTTAATCATACCTGAAAAAAAGAAAACAGTAGGCTTTAACACTTCCTTTTGTGTTTTAAATTCAGTTTTATTTGGCATTTTAAAATAATAATTTAATTCATTTGTAGCAGGTTTCCTTTAATCCATTCAAATAAGATCATATTTTTAAACTCTTCTGTTTTGTTCTCCATCCCCCATCCTCCTGTTTTCATTGAGGCCTTAATTTACACTCTGTCTGCACACTGGTTCTTATCTGGGACACTTTTAATTACAGAGCAATTTTTCGTCCCCAATAATAAACCAAGCTGGCAGAGATTTCTAATTAAGAAAAGAGCTGGATCATTAAAATTTGTCTTGGCAGTTTAAGTCAGGCACTTCTTATTTAATTGCTCAAAATTCATTTTTTTTTTATGATATCTTCTCATTCTGGCAAATCAGAAGGAGAGGGGCAGAATAATCGACAACACGTGTGGCACCCACTCAACCGCCACTGCCTCTCTGGGGAACATTTAACTGCCTATTTTCTCTCTTACAAACCTAATTACGTATAGACAATTAAGTCATGGGAGCAATTATCGTTCAATAAAGTTGTGCAGGAGCAGTAAAGAATAATAAAACAAAAAAAAAAAACTTTTAACTGAGGAGCCGAGTCAACACCATCAAAAGCAAAAAGGGTAAATATCCGAAAACTCCAGGCGGAAAACTTTCCCTTCTGAAGTAAATCTCGGATAATTTGCAAAGGAAACCGTATATGTATTTCAGAAAGGCAAGCTTCTGTTGCATAAGTATTGCTTTAGATCTAACCACAGGTCTGCTTCTTGGAGACATCTTAAAAGTGAACCAGACATCCTCCCTCCCCCATCCCAGCCGGGGAGCGATGTGAAGCCCACTCATCAATAGGTAATTTGAAAATGCCAGAGGGGGGAAAAAACGGCAGCGCTTCACTGGCTGCTACTGTGCAGCGGAGACTCTTCCCTCAACTCCGAGCTCAAAGGAACTCTATTTAGCGTCTCTTAATTGTACCTCTGAGGCAAACTTGTTATTTAATCCCAGCAGGGTCATACCGATGAAGTAAAACGCTGCTGTTTGTGTTTGCAGACTATATTAGAGCTTATTAGCCAAGGTTTATTCCTCAGGGTAATCAGAAAGGTTCAGAGTGTTAATGTCATTTGGATTTATTCAATGACAGATTAACTGGTCTGTAATGTCAGTGAAATGTGAAAGCAGCGAATGGTGGGCTGATTATGGCCAAAAATAAGCTGCAGGTAGTTATTACGGTCTGAATGAGAGTGTGATGGAAACACAATAACCTGTGATTTTAATGGGCTGCAACAAGCTATTCCCACTTTTTTAGGGACCTATCTGTAATTTCCAGCCTCTGTGATGCACTGAATGCTGCAGAAGAATACAAAAGTTAGGAGAAGGCATTGGCCGGTTTTCAAACTACACGGAGGTTTAAAAAAGCCACATTTTCAACACAGTTGAGAAAAAACAAAACGTTCTGTCATCATGCTCCTAGTGTTTAAAGTTCTTGTAAAGAGATGCTTGAGAATGTTTAGAACCGCTCAGAGTTTTCCTCGACTTTATGGATCATAGATTCATAGATTAACACAGCCCTGTCCCTCCCACACATTACTGGGCAATACTGTTCAGCTAACTGACAAACAGATCCTTGCCTATATAAGAAAGACCACGTAATCTGTAATTATATATATGCAGCAACATTAAAACGTATGCTGTGGAAACTACCAAACTCCCTTAATGACTCAGGATCACTCTTATATTAATATTTTGCACTCCAAGTTGCTTTTATCTATAGCAATAAGACTGAAAACATGCAAAGAGATAAGGGTGGAAGTGTAAAAAAAAAAAAAAGCCCCAGAGTTTGTTATCAAAATCACGAATGACTCTATTAAGGATAAGCCCCTGTGTCTGAGGCACCTGATCCACAGCCGGGCTGGATGCCACCCCAAAAGGAAGCATAGCATACAGGAAACAGAATAGCCAAACCCAGATTCTGAACCATTTACAGATTTTATAAAACACAGTTTTAACTTAATTGTTAAAACACAATTAAAATAGATTCCTATTTACCAAAACCTATTTTTAAAATCAAATTTAATTATAGTTTTATGTATTTGGATCATAAACAGCCATAGCTATAATAAAAGAATGCCACCTATGACTCTTTGTAAGGTTAAGTTACAGATTGCAGTTGACTACAGTTGGCAGATTAACTAATAAGCTATACAACCCCTATTGAAAAATCAATCATATTTGGAGCAATAACAACTTAGAAAGATATTTGCACAAACTGAAATAATGATAACCACAACCACGTGTAATAGATAACATTATTACCACTATAAAAATAAGTATGTTACATGATTTAAGCAGCTACAATAATAAATGTATTTTTCCTGTTTTATATAAAAGCAATGGGACCCTGTGAAGTTTTGTGTGAATACAATGAAACAGTTCTTTTTCCTCAAGGTTATCATTTCATGAGAATCTTATACGGGCGTAGTTAATACCTTAAATTAAGTCTGCCAACAAAAGCTTGTGGGAAGTGCTTTTACATGTAATTTAATGTATAGTAAATAACCTGCAAATGATTGGATTTTGTTTTCCTACTAAACCAGGAGCTATTAGTTCATGGATAATCGTCTGCCTTCTGTCAAAATAAGGAAGGAGAAGTTGTTAAAACAAATGAGATTACACTAATCCCTGTAATATGAAGACTGCAACAACAAACCTACAATTCGGCACACATTTTCACAAGGAAGTGTGTATTATTTCTTGTTTTATCCAGTGGTCACCTGCTATGTGAGTAATTACATGATACTTATGATACGGTGACCTGCCAGTTGACTGTTTTGGCTGTTAAAAGTGTTGACAATGGACTCGTTTTCTAAACCCTCTACGTGCTAACCTTTTATCATTTTTTATCAGTTTCATGTGTTGCTTCATAAATCAGTTCAATCCGTGATGATTGCATTTTGAAATAAAACTCAGATTGGTATGTTTTGGATGACTTTTCAAACTCAGACTCAGCTTCCATATGTTGCCAGGTCATTCAGAGCTGTTGTGTTAACCAGCAAAGCTTTTAATGCTGTGCTATTTCAACACTTTATAGGATCAGACCCTCATCCTCGGTAGCAGCATCATGCTGGGCGAATTACAGTTATCCGATATAAGCCCTCAGAGAGGAAGTAACTACCTAACACTTTGAAAATTGGTCTGTCTTGGAACTGGTTCACTCTAATGAAACTCGACCCGCTTCACCTCGCTCTGTCCTGTGTCATGTCCTTCCTTTTGCCTCTTTATTTACGTTTGATTCCTGTTATTCGATCAGCAGACGGCTTTGAGCAGAGCTGATACAGCATTCTCAGACCACAGGAAAGCTGAACATCATTTTTTCCCCTCGGTTTGGACTTTGAGCCTTTTTCTATATTAAGAGGAAATATGGAGTGTTGAGCCTTCCTCGTGTTTGGGTTCAGCTTGTAACGACGTGAGTAAATGAGAGCGCGGCCGCAGCACCGGCACAAGGCCCTACCTGTTCTGCTCCACGCCAGGGGAAAAATGGGCAACTATTTCACCTTGTTTAGTTTAATCTGAAAGGAATGTGGTATCCCTACTGACTCAGGATGGACTTAAACATATATAAAACC